TCTCTGCATGACGTGCTTCGCGCCCGTAGACTCCCATTGCTTCTCTGAATGGCAACTATTTATACCGGAGTCAAATGACGGTAAGACAAAAATTGACCGACATAAACCCAAATGAATATAAACATCAGGAAAAAGAGAATATGGCAAAAAAAAAAAACCGTAGTTACCAAGTCCGGATATGTTCGTGAAAGAGTAAACCTTCGAGTATGGGCCCAAAGTGTGAGCTGATATATAAACATGACTTCTTCTTGCTTTTTGCAGCATAGGAAGCATTGTTCCTTCTGGCGGTGAACAGCAATGAACGTTCACGTCAACAGAAAACCATTAACAACACTTTCTTTCCCATCAGGGTTCCTTGGGAAGCCATCCGGTGCAATGGAGTCCCCGTTGAGCTCTCATTTCAGGCGTTTTTGTTTTTTGTAATACTTTGTAATTTTTTTTTTTTTTTTTACAAAATTGGACAAAAATGCTGCAAAATTTTTTTTTTTTTTTTATGCAAACCAATATTTTTTGCCAGCCAATGATTTCATTTTAAAAGTGCGACTTTAGATATTTTGTCGCAGTTTGCATCTGAAAACAATCCTCCCTAACCCTAAGGGCAGTTAAGAGGGAATATCAAAACTTGTACGGGATAGTTCTCCTGTAAGTTAAATCTTATAAATACATTCAAGTACCTTAACTATTAACAACAATGTATCTTATTTGTGAATCACTCGGCTGGAGATCCTCCAATCATCTCTGACACTGTCCTTCCTTCTGGAGGGGGGGGCTACGTCTGTTCCCCATGGTCTCTGTGGGTGTTGGGTCGGAGTTTGGCTACCTCAATACTAGGGTACGCCCTTCAAACCTCTTTAAGGTGGCCATACACCACCAGGGGTAGGCAAACTCTGGCCCTCCAGCTGTGGTGCAATTACACGTGGCATTGGGCGATAGACTACAATCTCAATACAAACTAGTAAACTAAACCTGAGATTGTAGTCCATCCCGGGGAGTGAGCTTGGAGCGGTGACTACTTTACAACACACACAGGGACCATGGGGAACAGACGTAGCCCCCCTCCAGAAGTAAGGACAGTGTCAGAGATGATTGGAGGATCTCCAGCTGAGTGAAGGTGATCTACAGCCGAGCGATACACAAGATACATTGTTGTTAATAGTTAAAGTGACATGAAACCCTCAGATTTTTTAACATAAAACAATACTGTAATGTGCGCCTTACTGTAATCCATGGTAGCTTCCCTTCTCTTTGCTGCTCTTCCTTTTTAAATCTGTATCTGTTCTCATGCTTGGGGAGAACTTCTGTTTTGCAGTAGACTGCCTTGTCTCCGGAATGGATACACGGTGTCTGTGTATAAGTTTGCATGGGCTTGTAACCTGAACCGGCACTACAGGAAGAGGCCCTGAGCTGAAAAGGGAAGTTCTCCCCCAGCATGAGAAGACATGAGGATTTAAAAGGAAGAGCAGCAAAGAGAAGGGAGTCCACCATGGAGTACAGTAAGGCGCACATTACAGTATTGCTTTATGTAAAAAAATCTGAGGGTTTCATGTCACTTTAAGGGACTTGAATGTAAGATTTACCGCCTGAGTTTCGTGTCACTTTAATTGGGTTGGGAAGGAAGATGGGATTGATACTTCCCCTCACGTTAACTGCCACGGTGGGGGGCGGGGCTTATGACTGCAAAATGTCGTGATGTATTGACTACCTCAAAGTTCAGCCTGAAATGAAACCTCAACAGAGCGCTCCGAGTATTCTTTACATTTCATTACCAAAATTTTACAGCGCAATCGCAAGCTTTTCCTCTCTCGGTGTCTCGGTTACCGATCGGATCGGTGGATTTGTCTCTCCTATTGGTGCTTGATCTACAATAAACGTTTATTTCCGC